TGTTTTACTTGACGTTGACATTTTCAAATACAACATCAAATATTGAAATTCGATCCAAACTAAAATTTCAATTGAAATTGAATCAATTAAAGAAATTTGACGAAAAAAAAGAAATGTAATTTTATTACATATGATTGAACGCAATAGTCAAATGTCATGAAAAATCATGACATGAAAATTGTCAAAAATGACATTTGACTTCAATCATGTGGGACCGCTTGTTTTGTTTGGTTGAATGGATTTAGTTATAAGCATCAGTTATGAATTGCCAAACTAAAGCCGGGATATTCTTGCGGAATTGGAAGAGTTTAGAGTTTCGCGGGAATTTCTTGATGATGCCTCCGGTTGCTCGGAGGTGTCCCGCTTGTTTTGTTTATTTGAATGGGTTCAGTTCGAAGATTAAATATGATTGTGCATAAAGGTGAAAAAAGAAACGCCGACATCGGATTGATTGACGTTGTCAAATAGAGTCAGGTGTCGGCGCTTTCGTTTTCACCTTTAGAAACACGCGTTCGGAGAAGTCATCTGACCGTCAATACCGGCGTTTCTTTTATTTAAGCTGAAACGCCGCTCCAAAAGTAATGACGTTCGGACGTCGTTTCCGATTCCCTTTTAAAGATATCATTTGTACGCAATTTGTTGCGCAATTCGCGTCAAACGGATACGTCCAACAGATCCAGTGGTCCAGACATACCCAACATGGTTGATTCGTGCAGCGCGTAGTTTGAAATCACCCGTCTTGTACAAATCAATCAGTGAGAATGCGCGACCTCGTTTCGTTTCAATTTAACGTACGATTCAACTACCTATCGATTGACGGATCCTCACCAACGGCTTGAACACATTGTGGTGAGATCTTCGCAAACGTCTGCATCCTCTGAAAAAACAACCTGACGTTACGTGATCGTCGTGACGTTAACCGGTATTATAGAATGTCTGCGTGTTGCTGATCTGCACAAACCGTTGTTTGCAGAATATCGTCGTCGTCATTATATCCGACGAATGCGCTGTTTCGCAAACAACCCTTGGTCCACACGGCAATCCGCACTATTCTATTGGAAACGTACCTTTACGACCGATCGTCGATTGCTGAACGTCGCTTAATCAGAGAACGCAGAAGTTTTGCGCTGGATGCCATCAGTTCAGTGTGCTCGAAAACGTTAACAGAGAGATTCATTATCAGCCGGTATTTGAGACGGACGTGTAAGTTTTAATGATGGAACTCGTTGGAAAGATTTGCTTTGATGGGAGGCTGAAAGCAAACATTTCTTTTGTTGTTGCTGAAATCTCCATAATGTCCTAATCCTGAATGCGATCAGGACAAATGCGACGTTTTTGAATTGCGCAACGCTTATTTAAAAACAATAATTTCAATATTTCATTTCAAATATTCTTAATTCGCAGCTATGTTCAATCGAAATGTTCGATGAAATTGAACGTCATTTATCAATTATTAATTTCAATGGCATAACGATGAGCAGCTTCGTTTCTGTATTCCTCGTTTCAAATACAATTACTTCTTGACTTGCTACAAATGTTGAACATTTCATTTTCGAAGTGCAGATGATCGTTTCGAAGGACTTCGCAACGTCGTCGACTCCGTCTGTCTGAACGTTCAGTTTCGTTTAGTTCACACTCAATTCCAATGGAATGGGACTCATATAGACAATTGCAGCGCCATTCCATTGGAATTAGATTGATACCATTTTTGATTTGAACGAAATCAGTTCGAACTGTTGCAAATTTAAGTTTCGCGTAAAGCGAAAGAGTTTCGCATCAAACTCTCTATGATTTATTCATGTTCCACGATTGATTTTAACAATTATCGCAACATCTTGAGCTTCAAGCGCGGATTTATTCCTAAAGATATTGAAGCGGGTTATGCCATCATCATTATGTTTATTGAGATTACGGATCCCTCCGAAGCCCAAGCTCTAATTTCGTTTAGTTTCGTTAGTTTCGTTAGACTTCTAAGTCATCTTACCAGTCAACGGAACTGACTCATAAAGTAGATCCTGAGTGAATTATTCATCCACAATTCAAGCGGGATCGAAAGTTTGGTTTTCCGCTTTGTTTGTTTGTTTCCTTTTTGATTTAATTGGTTTTGATTTTATTGATTTCCGCTCAAAGGTGGACCGTTGCTACGCGCGGTCCTTCTGACACCTCCCCCAAAGCTCTCACCCCTAAATATCATTTCAAATTGTTATTTTTTTTTTCAGTAAATTTCAGTTGCGTCGAATTCGAATCATCACGTCTCTCTGAGTGACGTTTTGCGTTCGATTCGATTTAAGATTTCGTTTGTGATTTCAATTCAAGACACCTCTGGTTTGTGAAGCTCTAATTTATCGTTTTTTTTTCTGGCTTTTCGTGTTCAGTCTGACATCTTAGCAACGCGTCGCGTCGCCGGAAAGTGACAGACGCTACCACGTTTATGTCATTTTCCGATGACGCAATTTTGACGTTTATGCGGGACGTCAAACGCGCGTCTATTTGGGCTCGGCTCGTTTGACGTTCCGCCGAACCCCGAGGCTCGCATCCGACGAGACTCGACGTTATGCAACCAATCACCGAGATTAGTTAAGTGATATCGTTATGGAGTATTATTTACGGAGTGGACGGTGGTGTCCCGAAAGGGCGTCGAAATTGTCGATGGGCGATTGGTTTCGTTGAAACGTTCGTTTCGGGTCGTCGTTTCTCCGCATCTCTATGAGGATTGCGGTGGAGATGACGGAACGGACGGATTGTTATGTAATGAATCGTTCATCGCTGTGGGTCGCGCACCGTCTGGATGACCGATGACGTTCGCGTCTACGGTGTTCCCGTCATTTTGACGTTTCGTGAGTGGCACCACCGTCTCTTCCACCTTTTACCACCTAGACTTAAGCTTTATTTCATAGACGTAAGTAAGCGTATCGTGCGGTTTCCTTGAGAGTTCGTTAGTTTGTAAGGACTTTTACGATATTTTGTTTATCCTGCTCGTTCCTCGGGAAATTTGACGAGTATTTGGTGGCTATAGGCTATAATCACTTTCAATACGAAGCGCCTGAGTTGACAACGTTCTTTTCGACAAGTAAATTCCTCCCGTTTTCGACCCCCAATTCTCGTTTGACAGATTCCGTTGGAGGAGCGTCGCGACGCTTTGGTACCGCGCGCCGCGACGCCCCTTCCTTACTCTTTACTTTTGACACCTTCTCGCTCACGATCTCCAATTCTTCAATTAATTTTTTTCTAAGAGCACCACCACTCAGTTTCCTCTTTGTTTGTTTTTTTTGGTTTCTTATATTCGTTTTGCTTGTGATTATTGCATGCCGCTCGAGCACTTTTGCCGAATTTCTCGAACACGAACCATTACGAAACTAACCTACTCACTCAGGGGGACTTAAAGAACATACACATATAAGACACATATATATCAGAAGATGACATAAAAACAAACGAATAATTTTAATTTCAGAACAAAACAATAATAAAAATTGACATTCAATTTTTTGACTTGTACTGATTCTAGAAAAAAACAAAATAAAAACAACACCCCTCATGTACATATACATCCACTTCGCATGTAACCTTGACAACGTGTTGATTTATCCCCTATCTTTTGTTACGGCCCATTCGATCCGCTTTTAATTTGCGAACACACTCCAACTTTAATGAGCAATCAAAAAAAAACGTTTACGTTCGTTAATCCCTTTTAAATAAATATTATAATGTACATAAGAATAATAATGATGATAATATATGATGACATAGAAGAGAGATGATGATGTGATACATATCCGAGAATCAAAAAAACTAAAATAATATTATGCAACTAGCAACAATAATTAAAAAGTTGGAACACTTAGTACAAAAAACAAACAAAACTGTGGCGCGGATCGAATCGGTCGCATCGCCGAGTGATTACGTTCTTTTGGAGCACGAAGGACGAGGCAATAATTTTTTTATATATAATATATATAAATGATAAGTTTAAGATTTAGCATTGTTACATCATATTTAAAAGAAAAAGAAAAGTAAACTAAAAAATATAAAGTAAAAGAAAAAAAGATGTTTTCTTTTTTTTTTTTTACAGTACAGCTACTAACTACAAATACAATACAATATAACAATAAGGGCCGTGTGTGCAAAACTTAAACACTTGAGATGTTTATGTAATGAAAAGAAGTGTCTTTTTTATGTAAGGTTTAGGTTCTATGCGGCGGAGAAATAAATAATATTGAGGACAAAAAAAATTATATATATATATAAAAATGTATATTATTATTATTATATGGAATTAAGGATAATAGAGTTTAGTTTTGTAACTTTTAGATGGAGATTATTAGTAGAGCGGAGCGGAGTTTCGAGTGTCTCTATTAAGTGTACATTGTTTAGTGTTTAAGAGACGGGGAGAGAACGAAATACCACGGAGAGTGGAAGAGGCCCTTAAAAAGATAATTGAAGAAGAAGAAGAAGAAGAAAAAAAAAAACGATTTCATCTGTTGTTCAATTCGTGATTCTCAGTTTGTTTATTTTTTTATTGTTTTAACCATGGAGAAGGGCACTTGTTTTTAATAAAAATAAATGAATAAATCAAACGCATTTCTTTTATGTTTACATCCTACCACAACAACAACAACAGCAACAACAAAAAACGAGAAGAAAAGCGTACTTGTTTCATATTACCATAACAACGACAAAAAAGCCGATGTATATTTCCCGTTTTGTTCTTATTGCTGATGCTCATTTTTTCCTAGTTTTTTGACAATTGAGAAAATCGCTTGTTTCTTTACTCAAAATAAATGTATTAATAAACGTTGCCATGCGACAAATAAAAAACAACAAACTGACATTTCCTCTGTTGAACATTAACGATGTTAGAATCATTGTTTTTACTAAAAAAAACAACCTATCAGAGCAAAATAATCAAAGTGCAATTGTTTCATATTTACATCCTACCACCAACAAAAGAGAAACAGAAACAACGTTTTTTCTTGTTAATGCTTTATTATTATTACTAAAATACAATCTAAATTTGTTAGGAATCGAGATTGTTTAGGTATGTCGGTTATTTTGTTCGAAAATGATTTTCTTATCACAGCAATTGGTGGCAGACGTCGAATCTTTTGGTCCAGTTTCTTCCTGCTTCGTTCCTATCGAGCTTCGGCGTACATTGATAACCTCCGTTGAAGTTTATCTTCAGATAATCGTTGCAATCCGTCACATTATCGTCGTTGCAATCCTGCAAAATATAAAAATCAGTTCCAGTTACAAAATATTTTTATAGAAATTAACGTACTTTTCCGAATTTTGAGAGGTACGTGGTGACCATCCTCTGGGCGCAGCCTAAATTCAAAGCGCAATCCTCGAAAGCTGCGAGCAAACAAAAACAAAAACAGATGAGTTCATTTCTGCAGGGTTATCGATTTTGTTGAAGCGGCGTTCACCTCCTGCCCTTTCGGGGTCATCCTCTGGGAGTACGAGCCGACCTGCATCGATCCAATAGAGTCGACTAATTTTGTAGGGTCCGCAGTATCCGGCGGTGCAGCCCAATGTGATGTCGCAACTGGTGGCCGCATAGCAGAGGCATCGTAAACACTGCTTGTCCAGATTATGCACGTACAGTTGATCTGTGAGGGTAAAAAAGGGGAACGAATGAATATGTTAGCTTGGATTATTAATAATTCATCGACGTTGCGCGCATTGAAACGTCGATGAATTATTAAAGCATTATTATTAAAGGGATTAAAAGCAAAAAACGTCGTTTCTCTGTTACGTAACGAACATTACGTAACTTTTGTTCCATAAAAAGTTGCGTAACGTTTGCGTGCATCTGATTATGCAATAAAATCATAAAAAAGTTTATTACTTTTCGAGTTATTATCGAAAAACTGAATACATCCATTTTTTGATTCTATTCACTTTTTTTCCAATTTCTAAAGCTCATAGCAGGCGACTCGGAGAGCAGACGTAGATGTAATAGATTCGTTGGAAAGGCTGAGACATTCAGCTTTCAAACGAGTGGTCAATGATGTAATTAGCTTCAGGGGTTGTCGAGAAATTAAAGAAAAAC